GGCAGTTTGTGATCAACTATTCTAGGTATGAACATCTTCTACTATTGAGTGTCAATTCGAGAAACAAAGTCCCACATGTCCTCTTATTACTAAGTAGCAGTAAGTGTTGAATTAAGAAGCAATATGTCATATTGTGCAGCTAGAGGAAATGAGCAAATCAGTCATGAAAATTGACTTACAATAGTCTTCCTGAGGGCATCCAATTCTAGATGCTAGCAAGAATTTCTCATGAATTCTTCGAGCTTTAAGGTAGACTACTATTGTTGGTTCTGTTTCTTTTGCATTTCCATCGGAATCATGCTATCCAATTAACTACTAATTCAGGTTCTGTTTCTTTTGCATTTCCATCAGAATCATGATTTCGAATTAACTATATTAGGCTCATAGGAACTGAGAGACCCACAAAATTTACATTACCAGTCACATTAAGGAAACCATACTTGCATGACATGTATTAAGCTAGAAAATTATACTTTCAGGCTGATCATTTGTCGATCGGCTCTGACAAAAATAAATCCCTGGAGCAAATATGTGACCATATATGTTCGACCATGAGCCAAGATTCTTGCATAGAGAATCAAGCAACAAATAATGAGGATCGCACATGCAGAGGTAGCAAAGAAGACCATGCCAAAAATAAGTTATTGGAACACCCAACCGTAGTCTTCAGCTAGGAGCCAAAGTAAAACATACTTCTACATTCTTACACCAAGCAAGCAAGTATTGAGATTAAATCTCTACTATTAACTTGGAAGTTGTAATATATAAAACATGTTGCTGAAGTTGTGTTGAGAGAAGGAAGGTACCTGACTAAAGAGTTCAGAACAAAATAATCCAATACGTTGAAATGTATCCAATGATTTACCAGATGATATATCTCATCTAACCAGAACAATGAATCCCATGCCATACCTGCTGATATATTATGACTTCAATTAACCAGCACAATGAATCCCGCCAACAAACATAACTTTCCAAACTTGCATGCTCCTCTACTAATATGCTCCTCTACTAACCTGTTACCCAAACTGTGAGAAATCTGCCAACCATCTGTTTGCTGGCAACCAAACAATACCTGGACACCTGGTAAAAACACAATATTTGTCTTACTGCATGAACTTTGCATGAACTTAACAGAAGCATCATCAAGAAGGTAGGATAGGACTGCTGAGCACAAATAGTTGCAGATAATTTTAAATATATTAACATTTAAAAGAGAAATATTAAGATATTTAAAGAACAAGCATATGAAATTTAATGGTACATGCCAAAAGAAAATACCTAGAAGTATTTGGCTGCTCTTCATCTCCTTCCATTGGTGTTTAAGTACCATAGCCATATGGGAATGGTGAAAAATATGCTCCATTACTTGTATCCTCCTCAATATACTCATCGACTGGTGATCCGATACACTTGAAATTTCTATCAAAATCGCTCGGCCTGACTCCTATGTTAACAGGGTCGCACACACTAAAACTACGGGCCAATATTGGTTGTGAGAACATATCATTTCCTGAAACCCTTAAACTCTGACTAAGGTTTCGGAATGATAGTGGTGGAAAGTGATGAGCTATCATGTCTTCTCAATGATACCTTAAAATCAGCATCTAGTTCCACAACCGGATCAGGGACAGGGAATGGCGTGTGATAGCCAGCATGAATGCTAGACCCAGCGTTCTTGTTTAGTGTCCTCGTAATAAGTGATATCCGAGCACATAGATATCAGCAGGGGGTGAAGAATGGAGTCAGTCATCTAAATTAACCCCCTTGATGGGCATTGGCCACCAACATTCCACGTCGACACAAAGAATCTGCACAGATAAGGAAGCAAAATAATGACGTCTCAGAATGCGCCAGCGAAGTAGAATTACGAAAACCACCTAAGGTACTATGATCTGAATAACATGAACAGTAGCACAGCAGATCCCTATTGCAATGTAGGAGCACAGACAGTGAACAGGTGGTACCTGTAATCTTGGGCTTTTGTCAGGCGTGACACATCAAATTCATTCCCTGATCTATGAACATGAATTTTGCTTCAACGACCGTTCTGAAGTAGGCCCAAAAGGAACAACATAAACAGAATAACCAACAATCAGATAAGTTGGGCTGCTCCAACAAACAATCGGATAAGTAGATTGTTTATATTTATATTTGGCAAAAGAGGCATAGAATAACCAACAATTTGATTGCACACACGTTCAAACTGGACGGATACGTGCACATTAGCAAACACCACCAAGTTATGTCCAGACCATTTGCAATCAAAAGATGAGATGTGCAGGGAAGGGGGTGGAGCTCACCACACCAGGCCAGGGGGTAGGAGGAGGGAGTAGGCAGCCGCAACATCCATGAGGGAGGGCTCGTCCTCGTCCACCTGAAGCAGTAGGAGCAGCAGCTGGTCCAGATCCGAGCAACCTGCACAGAAAACAAAGGAAAGGAAAGGAATCACAAGGAGGGGGCATGAAGAAACCGACAAGACAAGGGAAGGAGGCGCGCGCACCATGGTCGGAGGTCGCCGGAGATGGCCTGCAGCTGGCGCGCGTCCTTTCCTTGGAGGTAGGCGTCGGACCTCCACGGGTAGCTAGGGTTTCGGGCGTCTCAGTCCATGGCTGCAGCCGGGTCGGACCTCCATGCACGATCTCGAGGGACGGCGGCCCGCCGGTGCGGCCGCGGATCTGGGCGCTGCCCCCCCTTGCCGCCGGATCCCTTCCATTCCCTTCCCTCCATTGGGAAAGGGAGAGAAGGTGAGGGGGAGGAGGAGGCCGCCGGCAGTGTCTCCATGGCCGGGCAGGGCTCCTCCCACCTACCCGCGACGGGAGGTGGCGGGGGCGGCAGCGACGGGCGGTGGCGCACCGCGAGACGGGTTAGCTTTTGAGGGAGGAAGATGGGGGAGGGGATCGGCGGCGGCTGCGAGGGCGAGGGCGAGGGCGGCGACTTGATGTGCGAGGGCAACGGCGAAGGGACCTGGAGGCTTCGCTCGCTCGCTCGCTCGTTCGCACGTTGCCACCCAGCATGGTTTTTTTTCGCTGGTTTTTCTTCGAAGGTTTATTTTCGTTCGATTCTGTCGCTTGCGAGAGAATTACGTGAACGTTGTTTTGGTTGGGTTTTTTTTGGAACGGGGAGGTGGGAGCGGGCACCAAAAAAAACCATGCTGAGTGGAAGGTGGATGCAAGTACCAAAGAAGTACCAAAAAAAACGGATGAGGTGGGACGAAAATAAAACCCGGAACGCGATCTACCAACTGAGAAATTAGGAGTAAAGACTAGTAGTAGCTTTCTTAATACGGCTGGAGTAGTACGTGTATGTCCACAGCTAGAGCAGCAGTCGTGCTGGTAGTAACAGCGACCTGCGAGTCCATCCACGCGAGCCGTCTCTTGGTGTAAGTGTCTACTCTATCTAATCTAAGCGTGCCCACCTGCCTACCAAGTGATTAAGTTAGACACGCACCCGTTCATAAGTGTGAGCACGATAAAGAAAGAAATATAGGTGTACATACATAGCGTCGCTTTCTGCAGCTGCATGCAATGCAATGCAAGCTGCCGTGATGGCGAGAGCACACGGTTTAGTTTCTCATTAGAGGGTAACTTGCGCTTTGCCGCGCCGTTCTTCACTCTGTGATTAACTCTTTTATATCGAGTAAACTATTGTGATTGGTTGTTTTCGTTGGATTTATCTGTGTTGACTTGTGTTTTAATCATGTTTTGACGGTGTTTTTTCCATTCTTCTATTGGAGACTGTATTTGTTTTCAGAGGAGAATGGAATTGTTTGGTGTGTGGTTGTGGTGTATTTACATGTTTCGGCCTTGGTGTCAGTTGGTGGTGGTCGACTGAGCCTCTTAAGAGCTTCCATTCCATACTAAAACTGTGAAATTGTTGCTATAACACTCACATATGCCAGCCCACGAATCTCATGTCCGCTTAGCTTGGCTCCCTGCTCCTCTTGCTCACTTAGTTTTTTTTCGCTCGCCTAATGCTAGCTAAGGAAAAAAATTGACGATCCTTTTCTATTTGAAAAGGTTAGTTTAATTAAAAAAGGTTCAAGGATTTCAAAATATATTACGAATTTATAAACCATGAATTTTAGAAAACATTCACGAGTTTAAAATGTATTCATGAATTTTAATAGATATTCACAAATTAAATAAGTTTTTGAATTTTAAAAGTGTTTACAAACTTTAAAAATGACCGTGAACGTCAAAAATATCTGTGAATGTAATAAATACTAATGAATGTAAACAATGTTTTGTTTTTTGATGTTTACAAATTTTATTAAGCACTTGTGAATTAAAATGTGGAAAATAAAATATAAAAGGAAAGGACAAACAAAACCAAACAGCATACAATCTTACAAGTGGGGCCCTCACCGAGCCCATAACTCCTGATGCACCACAACGCTTCAAATCATGGGAGCTTAGTATCTCTATAGATATATACTCCACACTGCCACTGGCTCGATCGCCGTCCAGGGCGTCTCTTTTCCAAAAGAAAAAAAAAGCATGCCCACAGGTAGTTGGCTACATGGACGAGCCGACTAAACACGAGACAGAGATGAAGGCTACTTCTGGTAGATCCATTTTGCCTGCGGATGCTTCGCGGCTACGTGCACGAGGCCACTCTCGGTCTCGGGCGGCCAATAAAAAAAACAGAGAGAGCAAAGCAGCTAAGCTAGCACATCTCTAGAAGGGAATAGATGAGACACGGCGTAAGGTGTTCAGACTTGAGAGACAGACACACACACACACGAGAAGCAGCAGCGCCGGTCCTGTACTGTTCTGCGTGCCGTGTGCACCTGAAGCTAAAGGGAGAAGAAAGCTCACTGTGCTGTCACATCTCATTATGCAAGAGTTTACAGATACATATAACGGAGCACCCAAGGTCTCCCGTGAACCAAGGCATGCAGGCCACTACGTGGAGAGTGGTTGTGATTCATGAAAGTAGGAATAAGTTACAACAAGAGTACACAATATACAAAACCTACAGAATATGTATTGGCTCGTTAACACCCCCCCCCCCCCGGCAGTCGGAACTCCGGGTGGATGTTCAGGCTGGACCGAAAATCGGTGAAAACCGCGGTAGGGAGGCCTTTGGCGAAGACATCGGCATACTGGGAACCAGAGGGAACGTGTAGAACTCTTGCTTCACTCAACGCAACACGATCACGAACAAAGTGGAGGTCGATTTCGACGTGTTTGGTGCGTTGGTGCTGAACCGGATTGGACGAGAGGTATGTGGCGGAGATGTTGTCACAGTAAACAACAGTGGCGCGAGCAGGTGGGCGACGAAGCTCGTGAAGCAATTGGCGAAGCCAGGTGGTCTCAGCCACACAGTTTGCGACGACCCGGTACTCAGCTTCCGCGCTGGAGTGAGATACTGTATGCTGGCGCTTGGACGACCAGGAGATCAAGTTGTCGCCGAGAAACACGCAGAAGCCGGACGTGGACTTACGCGTATCCGGGCAGCCGGCCCAGTCGGCGTCGGAGTAAGCGGTGAGGTCGAGGGATGGCGACTTATAGACCTGAAGACCGAAGTGGGATGTGCCCTTGAGGTAGTGCAAGATGCGTTTGATGAGCTGCATATGCGTGGTGCGTGGTGCATGCATGAAGAGGCAAGCATGTTGAACTACGTAAGAGATGTCGGGGCGGGTGAGGGTTAAGTATTGGAGGGCACCGGCATAGCTACGATAGAGGGTGGATTGTGGAAGGGGGTCGCCATCAGTGAGGGAAAGTTTGGCTTTGGTGTCCACGGGAGTAGGAATAGGATTGCAGTTTAGCATATTGGCGCGGTCTAGGATCTCCAGGACATACTGTTGTTGGGAGAGAAAGATGCCGGATTGGTTGCGAGTGACATTGACTCTGAGAAAGTGGTGAATATCCCCAAGGTTTGTCATGGCAAATTTGGATTTGAGGGAGGATATGATGAAGTGAAGTGTAGGAGTGGTGTTTGCCGTGAGGATGATATCATCCACATATAGGAGGAGGTAGGCTACAAAGGAGCCATGGCGGTAGATGAAGAGGGACGAGTCACACTTGGATGCCACAAAACCCAAGGACAGGAGAAAGGATTAGAAGCGCAAGAACCACGTCCGGGGAGCTTGTTTGAGGCCATACAAGGATTTCTTGAGGAGGCAAACATGGTTGGGATGAGAGGAGTCAACAAACCCCGCCGGTTGGGAGCAGTAAACCGTCTCACCAAGATCGCCATGAAGAAATGCATTCTTGACATCGAGTTGATGGATGGGTCAAGAGTGCGCGGTGGCGATGCTGAGGATGACACGGACGATGGCCGGTTTGACGACCAGACTGAAAGTCTCCGTGAAATCAATACCCTCTTGCCGAGTGAAGCCATGAAGAACCCACCGCGCTTTGTACCGTGCCAGAGAGCCATCGGGGTGAAATTTGTGACGGAAGATCCACTTGCCGGTTACCACGTTAACACCTGCAGGGCGAGGAATCAAACTCCAAGTATCGTTTGTTAGCAAAGCATCAAATTCATCAAGCATCGCATCGTACCAATGGGAATCTTTTAGGGCTGTTTTATATGAAGAGGGAAGAAGGGAAATAGTGGGAGAGGTGGT